AAACAGCCATCTGTATAATATACCGTAATTTTATAAACTTTTAAACAGTTTTTTTAAACTATTTATTTCAATGATTATTAGTAAAAACATTAATTCTTTATTCATTTAATTGTTTTTTTATAGCACATATGTTGATTAGTGCCAGCCATATAAACACAACCATAAATTAAAACAAATAACAATTCAGCCTATGTAGCTATTTAATTTATTGTGATATTTAAAACCAGGATATTCTCTAAATGATAAGTAGGATTATGCAAACTTTCATCACAAACATGCATGAAATCCTTTTGATTTGCTTAAATAAGGGCTCCTTACATAGGAAAAAAAAAAAACAAAAACAAAAAAAAAACAATCATTTCAAACTTCAGGAGTTGCAGATTGTTAAAAAATTTAAAAAACAAACCACTGGACTTTGTTTTCCAAGTTTGAAGAAGTTCCGCTTCCCATCCAGGAAGCTTTCTCAATTTAAAAACGTCTGAAGTAGCATTTGAGTTCCAGGCTTATACAGTGGCACAAACAAAAGCCTTATGGCTTGGAAAACATGCAAATAGAACTGAAAAAAAAAGGGTCCACCCCTCAGTATTGGGGAGTCCTTGAGTACTAAGGGGCATACCTGTTTTTTTTTATTTTTATTTTTTTTTCCGGCTCTATTTGCATGTTTTCTAAGCCATAACAAAGCTTTTTTTTGGGCGACTGGAACACAAACGCTACTGCAGACATTTTAAATTGAGAAAGCTTCCTGGATGGGAAGCAAAACTTCTTCAAACTTGGAAAAGAAAGTCCAGTCGGTTTGTTTTTAACTTAAAGTTTAAAGTGTGCTGGAATAACTATGACCTGGATGACAGAGAATCTTCAACAGAAGTTGCAGATACTTTTTTATTTACTAAATGTGTCAATTTATTCACCATAAAACCAATAATGCATAATTTGAAATAATTTCCTTCTTCTTCTCAGAAAATGTGGCTTTACGGGGCAAAGCTACACAGTCTTCTCAATTGAAAGGAGACAATCATGGTTATGTGGGTGCCTACAATGCTATTGATGGAAACCGAAATTCTGATCTTAAAAAAGGATCATGCACCCACACTGATGCTGAAAATAACCCCTGGTGGAGAGTAGATCTGCTGGATTCATACATTGTCACCGAGGTCATCATCACCAACAGAGGAGACTGCTGTGAAGATCGTATAGATGGTGCAGAGATTCGCATCGGAAAGTCCTCGCAAGACCATGGCTTTGCAAACCCCGTGTGAGTGATCATGTCAGGCTACATCTGGTTTTCAAAATGATATTTTAAAGTTTAAGAAAAGCACATCTTTTTACTTTTACGACTAACAATAATAGTCCTTGGAAATCTTGACTGTTACTAATACAGTTCTTCTCTTTTAGGGTTGGTACAATTTCCACTATTGCAGCTGGAAGTTCTTACACAATAAATATGACTAATCATGTGGAAGGTCGTTATGTGACGGTAATATTACCTGGTTTGAACAAGTATCTAACACTGTGTGAAGTGGAGGTCTACGGGTACCGTTCTCCAACTGGTAAGAATCCTTTTTAAATGGGAAAAACTATGATTTTGAACATTTAAAAGACTTGAAGAAGATCTGATGCATATTTCTTTATTGGATTAAATTAAAATTAAAGGATTCCTTTCAAAGAATTTGTGTACTTAATCACAGTTTGCGCAATAATCATTCTTGATCATTTAAAATGCTAGAAATGTTCAGGTACATCCAGTTTATTCAATGCACGAATCATCAGTTCCTTATTAGCACACAATACAAAGAAAAGTCATAATGATGCTAAAAAACTAGACATCCATTTCAATTTTAAATCATAGCAGTTTGGTTTTTATTTTGACTGAAAAAAAATCAAAAACGGTATTATATATTTTACAACACAAACACAATAAAAATATATTTTTAAAGTGCAACACTAAATATATGATCTCTATCCTTTGATACATTTGT